TCTTAACCATCCAGCAGAAAAATATAAAAACAAAGTATAAAAAGTAAAGCCATATTAATATGCTGAGCTGTAAAAGGCTCAAGTCAACAACTTCTGACATTGCCAGTCCTACAGATAATCCACTACTATTATGGACTACTGGACTATATTGGAATATTTTGCTGAATTCACAAACCTATAATATTTAAATGACAATGGAATGCCCTTCTCTGATAACACTAACCAAAAAAGTGGGATAGAAATGACCAACCATTTTGTATCTGTATACTCAAAATAGTTAGGATAGATATACAGCTCCATTCTCTTAATTCAATGAATAGAGAGGTTTTTTCTAATAGTGTTTGAGACAGGATATCATGTCTGCATCTTGTACAATGAATATGCAATATATTAATTATTGAAACTGTGCTAGTAATTGATTGTGAAACTGTCCCATTGCTATTTGTTTAAAAAAATCGTGAAGGTCATGAAAAAAATCTAAAAGGTTTTTTGTTTTTGTTTTTTTTTTCCTCTTCTGAGGTGGGAATCAAACCCAGGACCTTATTCAGGTAACACCAGAACTCTACCACTAAGCCACATCCTACAAAATTTCTTATGAAAATATATCATAGTTGTTATGGCTTGTATCTAGATGTTCCTCCAAGCTTCATGCACTCGTAGGTGGGGCTTTTCAGAGGCTCCTGGACGTAGGGTGTGTGAATATGAATTAAGGATGTGTGATAACAAGGTTAGTCATAATGGGAAGGCCCATGCTAACATGGGCAGCACCAATCAATAGGGATAAAAGGGACAGAAGGAAGGCAAGTCTGATGCCTCCTACGTGCCCTCCCATGGACTATGTCTCCTCCCTTGGAGCCAGCTAGGGACTATGGACTGAAATGTCTATAAACTGCGAGCTAAAATAAACCTCTCACCCTTTAATTTGTGGATATCAGCTATTTTGTCTCAGCAACAAGAAAGTAACTCAGACAACAATAGGACTGGTTCCCTTCTGCAGTTCCAAGTATAGGGTCCTACAGCTTTGCTAGGAACAGAAAATAGCCGAGTACTCATTAGAGACATCTAAAGTCAACTTTCGGGCCGGGGATCTAGCTCAGCTGCACAGCAACTGCCTTGGAAGCGCAAGGTCCTGAGTGTGATTTTTCAGTACAAAATAAATAAATAATCTGTAAAAACCTAAAGTTGTCTTCACCAACAGCAAATTCAGAACTCTTTCTAGTTATAAATATTGGTAACAACAAAGAAGTAGCCCAATCGACAATGCTGACCCCTTCTCTCAACACGTGCTTATTACTATCATCCAAACAGCAGAAGCTTGCTTTGCTTTCTCTTTTCCTTTTTTTTCTTTCTTGGTTTCTTTGAAACAGGGTCTCACTTTGCAGGCCGGGCCGGCCTTGAACTCACTATGTAGCCCATGCTGGCCTCAAATTGGCAACGATCTTGCTGCCTCAGCCTCCCAAATGCTAGGATCACAGGTGTGCACCTGGCACTGCTTTGTTTTCTTGCACACTAAATTCGCTTTCCTCTCTCCTTCCCATACTTACCTCTGGTTCTTAAAAAAAAAAAAAAAAAAAAGCACAACTCACAAACTTATATGCATTAACTCAACAAACATAGCATATACTTCTTAAGTCTAAAAATAGCTTTTGATTCACTTGAAAATAAAAGATTTACTCATCATCTTTGCTACAAAAATCATTGAATATATATACATGTAATCACTCTCCTAAAAAATATAATTAAGGGCTGTGAATATAGCGTTAGTGATAGAGCATTTACCTAGCATGCATAAGGCCCTGGTTCAATGGCTAGCACCACAAAATATGTGCACGCACGCACACACACACACACACAAAATGCAGAGCATTCACATTTCACATATCTTTTTAAAATTCTCTAGACCCAGGACACCACTTCTCCCTCGCTACATCTATTTAATACGTATTGTAATATGTATTTTTTTATTTGATGCTGTACAGGAACTCTGTATAAACATACTCACCTATACGCCACATCAAATATTTCCTGTTATTCTGTGTTTACTGATCATTAATTTATTTGCTCAGCTAAGTCAACCTCATCTTGTGGAAAGCCAGAAAGCCCGGCACATGTAAGAACACAGGCTTCAGAGATAAATCTCAATTCAATTTCTGACTCTCCTCCTACTGACTGAACGGCTTCGAACAAGTTAATTAACTTCAGCCTTATTAATTTCCTAACCTTTAAAATTAGGACACTATCACTTCCATCTATAGATGCTGAAATAGAAAATGAAATATTTGGTGAGTCACAGATGTTCTGGACTGGCAGTCTCTTTCTTCCCAGCAAAAACTCCTTTCTAATGTTCTTCCCAATTCCTCTACAAAGTCAGAGCTTTAAAAGCACGTTCCTGCAGTCTGCCACGTTGTAGACTCTGTGTCTTCAAATCTAAGCCGCCTCTAGCTCTGGCCCTCCCCTTCTGCTGACCTAGCTCGCCCAGCACTCCTCCTCAAGGGAGAGCAGTTGGCAACAATGCAGGCGGTGGCAGCAGCACATGCAGCTCCTCCCAGAGCACTGGTATGCAACAGGACGACCTCAAGCACCAGTCACGGAAGCCTGCATGTGCAGCAGCTGGCTGCACACCCGTGAGCTGACTCTCCATGCAAAGCACAGCTTCCTCCGCAAATAATTTACACGTCTAAACAGACTTCATGGCAGATGAACCTAGATAACTGGCAAAAGTCAGAGGTTAACTTACAGAACCTCCACCCAGAAATGAATTTTCAGAGGCTAACAAAAGACAATATTGCTCCCTTCTTGATTTATAAGTATTCTACTAGAGAAATGAGCTGTAAGAAATCACTGCTATTAGCCCTCAGTGTCTATGGGTTTTGCATGCTCAGAGTCCATCAACCAAGGACCAAAAAAATTTGAAAATAAAATCCCAGGCAGGTATGGTGGTGTGCACCCGCAGTTCTCAGCTACTTGGGAGGCTGAAGCAGGAGGATCACTTAACTATTGTAGTTGGAGGTGGCTAGCCTGTATGGGCCAGAAGACCACATCTCAAAAAGAAAAAAAAATTAAATTTCAGAAAGATCCAAAGAGCAATATTCAAATTTGTCCTGTATTGGGTACGGAGGGGGGTTCCCACATTACTGAAGTGACACCTGGGCACACCCTGCTGGAGCTCCCCGCCACTGCACAGGGCCTCAGCTTCTGCGCCCCCCCCCCACCCACCCACTGCTCAAGCACTTTTTGCCCACGTCACCTCATGGCCGAGGTAGGCCGAGGACAGGTGCACAGGACATACGTACTACTTTCCTTGCTGTTTTCCTCTAGACAACACAGTTTTAATGACTGTTTACGTAGCATCTATACTCTTTTAGGCATTACAAGCAATCTATAGAGATGATCTGAAGGACAGATGAAGATGCACATAGAGTACAATCAAATGCTACACACCATTTTATATATGGGACTCGAACCTCCACAGATTTCTGGATCTGGATCCGTAAGGGATCCTGAAATTAATCACTCATGACTGTATTTAATACAGGAATATCATCTATCTTGTGTACTGTATTTTTTAAAGTGTGTGTATGATTAAGTCTTAACATTAAAATGAAACACTGCAGTCAGTGCTGGTTGCTTAGCTCCTAGAACATGCAGCTCTCTGCCCCTCTCCTGAGGAGCCCCAAAGCATCACTGGACTCACCAGGAAGTTCCCAAGTGCAGGTCATGACAGTGTTCTAGATTGGAAGTTACTCACCCACAGAATCTTCCAAAGTGTTCTAGCTACATCTTCATGGGGTACAAGCAACTAAGAGCTGCCCAAGAGAATGAACATTTAAGAATCCATCCCTGCGCAATGTAGCGTGGGGAACCTGGGCTAGAATTTCCACTGCCTAAAGCAGCTAAGATCTCAGAACAGGCTCAGAACACCCAGGATCCTCATAAAAGCTGATGAGCAAAATCAGAAACAGCCACCGAATGTAGATGGGAAAAAAAAAAAAAAAAAAAAGGTGACAACCTTGCTCTCTGGAGCATGGAGGCCTCTGACGAGCACCCCAAGGGGAGTCAGACTGAACACACAGCACCTCCTGCCCTGGACACCCTCACTTGCTCTGCCTCTCTCAGCAACTCGGCCAGTAGGAAAACAAAGAAAGGATTCAGGTGTAAGGGGTTTTTCTGCTCAAAATCTCACGTCCCAGAGTTGCAGCCACAAAAGGTGCTGTGACAATGTTCCTCTCTTTTTCTGTTTGAGTAAAAGAAGGCAAATATCACAGGTCTGTATTCTTTTTCCAGCCCCTCTCAGGATCTCAGCCCCTTGGTGGCCTCTCTGCAGATAACCATTCCTCCTGTCGCCCTGTGTGGCTTCGCTCCTCTTGGGTCCTTCCCACAACCAGAACCTTAGCTAGGTCTCCTCCCCTGCCAGTAACGCACAGGGAGCACGCAGTGCGAAAGAAGTATGAAGGAAGAGGTCTCCGCTTCCCTGGGCTGCCAGGTAGTCAGTGTCCGTATCATCAAATAGCACTGAGATGCGATCCGAAGGCCTGGGAGCAAAGCAGCCTTGCATTGTCAGGTTTCTTCTGAGCTAGGAGAGAACTCTAGCACAAGTCCTCTGCTGGGCCCTCTGCTGCTGAAAGAACAAATGCATGTGGCACCGACTCCGTGAGTACACCTACCCTCGATGCTCAGCAGGCTCAACTCGGAGCTGCTTTTCTTTTTACCCTTTCAGACTCGCTAGGAGAATCTGAACTTGCACTAAGTTATTGCAAAGATCCTTCTTGGGTGAGCAAAAGTCATGAAAAATTTTCCTTCTGAGAGAAATCACTGCAGCGAAGGACTGCTTTGGGGACCAAGAAAAACTGCCATCAGTTTTACACTAATGACACACTCAGTTCCTCACTAGACACATCACAGAAGAAGCTACTGATTCAATGAACGATAAATTCTGTCACATCAGGCTCTGACCGAATTTGCTGATTCGCCCTCTGTCCCTGTCAGGGCCTATCCTGTACCTGTATAAGTGACGGTTGTCTTCAAAATCTTCCTGACCCCATTTTCCCTTGATGTCTTCAATAACGTGATTCTTCAGGAATTTTTTCAGCAGCTGGACTGTTTGTTTCCGAGTCACCTCTGGGCCAAAGTTCTGACTGCGCCGCAGCAGCTCATGCAGCCAGTCCACGGCCTCCCCTGCGGTGAAGCACCGCTCATAGCTCTTGAACCGGCAGCGGTGTCGCCGTAAGGGCATCCTGGTCCGAAACAGCTCCACGGTTTCATTCCACTAGGGCAAAATCAGAGGAAAGCATCTGTAATCAACTAATGTGCTTTTAAAGGTGCTACGTCTCAAAATCTATAGCACTCACTGCAATTTTCTATTTCAAAAAAAAAAAAACAACTGCTTGAATAGATGAAAGGTTAAAATGCACTTATAGCTGTCAAACTCTTAAAAAAATTTTGGAGAATGGATAATGATGACAACTCCAAAGCAGTGTGAAGATACTTAACGTCCCTGAACTATGCATTTAAAAGTAATTGCACTCTCTTTAAAAAAATAAGGATAACTGCAGACTAAGAAGGTAGCTCAGTGGCAGCGCACCTGCATAAGGCCCTGAGTTGGGTCCCTAGTACCATAGAAAAGAAAAGTTGAAATAGTTTCAGGTTATGTATATTTTACAATTGAAAAAACATGACCTACTGGGAGAAAAACAACCTCTTAACAAAAACGAAGCTCTTCAGTGGCACGTCATCATTTTGCCTTCAAGAACTACTTGTTGGTGCTGCTGAGATGGCTCAGTGGTCTAAGGTACCTACTTAGAACAAGCTTAGCAAAGCACAGGGACCACGGTTCAATCCCCCAGCACCACATGCCAGCCAGCCCGCCCCCTGGTGGGCTGAGCTGGCCACACACACACACATAAATAAATAAATAAAAAATTTTTTAAAAAAAGAACTACTTGTTGAACATACCACTGCCGAGCCATCTGATTGGCGGATATTTACATAAATGAAAAACACGATAATAAATAATAGTTAAAAGCAAGTTCATTATGCACAATACATCACTGGACGCCCCACATTTCAGAGGACAGTTCCTCTCCTTAATTAACTTTATTGTACGTTTCAGATATATATAATAATCACATTCATAAGCAATTTGTTCCTGTACATGATATAACTTGTTTCTTTTTTCCTCAACCCCCTCCCCTCCCTTTAACCCTCCTTCCCCTCCTTATTTATTAAAATTCTGTTTTCACTGTGTCCCTTCTATTCTCCTTGTTTCTCGTCTCCTCCTTCCTTCCCCCACCCCTCCCTTGCCCCCCTTCCCATGTGGGCATTTTCTTCCTAGCTCCCAACACCTATTACATTTTGGCACAGAACTCACTTCTTTCAGCACATGTTTATTATGTCAGAGGCACCCTGGGGAGAGAAGAGAGGTGCACAAGGAAACTAATACAAGGCATGTCTCAAGTCAAAGAGCTCAAAAGCACAGAGATAAGCCTTTGAAAACAAATACCATAGTTTTGCATATTTGCAAAAGACAGTTGAAAGAATATCTAGGTAGTAGATATTTCAAATAATGCATATTAATTGAAAACCATCTCCTGGTTCTGAGGTGGAAACAGGCAGATGTGACCTCCTCAGAGATACCGCATGGACTGAGTAGTCAGCGTGAGAGCTTTCAGTCAAGCACAGCGGGTTCACAGGCCGGCTGCTGCCGACCAGGAGCAGGAAAGCCTCGGACTCCAAGCAGTAAAGCCTGTGTCTCTAGACGACAGTGGTCACATAATGGGGCTGCTACAGCAGCCAGAGAGAATGCTGATGGCGGGTTACCGCAGTGCTGGGCTGCACTTTAGCCATCATACCACCTTCCTATCCATTAGCACTGAGCACATCGTACGCAGGAAACACTCCTCAACAGAGTCCCCACTGACCAGGGTTAGCCCAACCTCAGCAATAAGCTTGGGCTTTCGACCAAGTCCATGCTCTGCTCTAGGAACTTGCAGTGATCAAAAACGAAGTCCAGGAAGCTTAGAAAAATCTTAAATTTGGAGACTAAATTTCACAGAAATTAATATATATTGTGAATAGCAGCCAGGTAGAAACTGGGAATCATCCACTAATTCCGCCCACTCCAGTCAAATTAAGAGAATCATCCCACTGTTTACAATTTATTCAAGAAACTTAAGGAAAATTAAAAAAAAAAAAAAAAAACATGAAAAACAAAACCCACTTCTGCGCGCTGGGGATGTAGCTCAGCAGCAGAAAGCTTGTCTGGCACATGCAAGATTTAAGGCCCTGGGTTTGAACCTCATCACCATAAAGCAAAACCAACAACAACAAATTCCTTGCTGTCAGATCAGGTGCATACTAAGTCATCCTAACACACTGCCAGTAATGCTCACAGCATAATGACCTGGACCTTCGAGTTAAGCACTGGAGCATTCAGTAGGCAAAAAAAAAAAAAAAAATTGAGACAGGATCAAGCTATGCAGTATGGGCTGGCCTTGAGCTCACTTTTGTAACCCCCCCAGGCTTGCCTCAAACTCACAGAGATCCTCCTGGCTCAGCCTCTCCAGTGCGGGGATTACAGGTGTGTGCCACCACGCCTAGTTCCCTAATTTTTGAACAGTGAGAAAAATATGAAGTCAGAGCTGGGTTCAGCTCAGTCATTTACGGTTTGCCCCCAGGGTGGCACACAGCAAGTACTCAACAAATACCAGTTTCCTTTTCCCGAAAAACTGCACAGCCTGCCATGTACAGCATCCACAGAGTCACTTTAAAATAACATTTGTGTGAACGTTCTACAGCCTCTTTCACCACTTTCTAACTGGTGGTGGGCATTCAGATGGGCTCCAGTTTGCTGCCTGACAAACACATTATATCCTGGCTATATACAATGTGAAGTGCCAGTTTTACTTTATTTTTGAGATAGAATAGCTTTCTAAAACATATCACATATTTAATTCGATTGTGGGAAGTCACATTCCAACAGTGTATCAGCCAGAAGCTTAGACTTTGGCCCGCATGAATCCCTATTACTCTTCTTCTTTCTTCCAAACTATGCAGGAGAAAAGATAGGTTCATATTCTGCTTACATTTTGCAATCTTCACCTCCAGTCCCGTTCATTTCTTCTGAAACATCACTCATCTATGAGGCTGTTCATCTTTTTTTATAACCAATTTTACCAGTTGCTCAAATCTAGACTGGTAAGTGCACAAAAGTCAGGAAATTTTGCTCAGTTTAGCGGCACCACACCCAAGGACAGCGCCTGACCACCAGGTTTGTATTCCTGAACACTGAGTGAGGCTAGAGCCGCAGCTCAGGCACTCTGTGCACGGGCCCTGGGCTCAATCCCCACCCCTGTGGGGGAAAAGTAATGAACAAATAAGGAATAACAATCCTTTTGCATATGTCAGAAATAGTTTTTCTTGGCCTAGTAACTACTTAATTTAATCTCAAGGTATACTGATGATGCGTTGTTTGAAGTAAACCAATATATATCTCTTTATCATTTCAGGGTTCGCTGTTTTTAGAAAATTTCTCCATCTTAATGTATAAAATATTTATCAAAGATTTTTTTTACTCCTTTGTAGGGCTTCTTTTCCTTTTCTTTATTTTTTATCTTTTATTTATTTACTTTTTGATATGTGAAGCTTTAACCAGAATTATTGTGTGACAGGAGATCTCTGACTTTATTTTCCTCTCAATAGAAAACCAATTACACTGGTTTTTTTCTAACTGAACTGAAATATTATTAACTTACTCTGTGTATTATTTTTCTTAATTCTGTTCCTGAACATTCCTTTTCTATCCCACTTTGTTACTGTCTATTTCCATATGCTGTTGTCATCCACGATGAATACCATGTTTTAAGCTCCAGTAGGACAAGCTCCCCCATGATCATGTTTTTAAATGTTTTTCAACTCCTACACTTCACTATTCATTATGAGCTTTTCAACTCATTGTATCTTCCACACCAGAGAAAAAAGAGCCACAGCAGCGCATGTGATTGGCATGCTCAATTCTCAGTACCAAATACTGTACATAAGCAACCCATCAGGATTCTGGCTGGGCGTTCAACTGTTCTACTGAATGCAAGCTTTCACTTCATACTAGAAAATTTCTAGTACACATTCTCATTGAAGGCTCATATCTCTTTAAAATAAGAATGTTATCTGCCTCCTTGGTGCAGTAAGCACCATATCAGTCTCATAAAACAAGAATTTATAACAAAATAAAAACAAGAATGTATAAAAGCAATTTCAAATTCATGTATGTTTATTTTTAATAAAATTTATCATTATGTATTGCACCTACATAATCCAGGAGACATTCATTTTAGATGTTCAAAAGCCCGTGGACTCTGCCCTCACTTGTTTTCAAATATAATTATGTGATTATTTGTCTACTACACTCAGAAAGAGAAAGAATTATGCTATCCTTAAGTAATGCAGCAATATCTTATTCCCAGTCGCACATAAAAATAAAATGATTCTTAATCTATGTCAAAAAGGAACAAGAGGGGCCAGGGAGACGACCCAGTAAGATAAGTGCCTGCCTGGCAAGCGTAAGGGCCTGAGTTCAACCCCTGGTTCTACCAAAGGGGGGAAAAAAAAAGAACAAGAGCTTGAGAGGTTTTCTTTCCACAACATATTATATTTGAAGACATAAATGTAAAAGGAATGTAGCTGATCTGTTTTGTAATTAAGAAAGTCTTTTGTCTAGTTTAATTTAGACTCCTAGTTTAAGGAACAAGGAATTTGCCTAACACAACTTGTTTTGCTCTGCGTCATAAGCCAAACTAGAAGATACAACCTAGTGTTGAAATGCATTTTCTGTCCTTCTCTCCAGGACATTTTATCTCCTTCCTTCTTAACACCAGCAATATCATGAATAGTGGCCCTATGAAGAGGACTGGCACAGGAGAAAAGAGAAAACCACACTCAAGATACACTTGCACTTCACACACACACACACACACACACACACACACACACACACGATGTGTGCCCTCGCCATGTGAGCTGACTCAAAGGGCACCTGTAAGTCTTCTAAAGTGTGTAAGTTGTATTAGCTCTTGTTAGATTACATAAACGATTTAGCACAAAGTGAAGTAAAGGTCAACGTTTTGCTTTAGTTTTGCTTTTCCTTGGTGCCCTGTGCGCTGAGACAGGCCCCAGTGCGGCCTGCCCTGGCACTCCCAGGCTGCAGCAAGCCCCCGCCTTGCTCCCGAGCAGCAGCGAGGCCTGCGGGCAGGCAGCCGCAAGACCAGCAGACCAGTCTTCAGAGGAGGCCCCTTCTTTCTCCTCACTTTAAAACAATGAGCTCCTACTGTGCTCCTCTGTTTAAAGTCTCCCTCTTTCATCTTTCTGAGACCTCGAGACAATTTTTGTGCTGCAGAAAAAGATCAGGACGTGGAGATCAGGAAACGGGAGGCTAGCTCTTCCCAAGTCTGGTATAAACTAAGGGAACTGCCATGGAAGAAGGAGCAACAGAGAGGGCTAAGGATTTTTTTAAAAAAAGCATTCCCTTACAGACATTTTAATTGCTCATGATGAATCTAATCATTACTGTAAACATGTCACAATAGAAATTTTTAAGTAAAAAATAAATAAATAAAATAACAGTGAGCTATTTACACACGAGCTGCAAATTTGAAAATTATTTCCAGGAAGGTAAGTAGTTAATTGCTTCCCATATTCATAATTGGGGCTGTCATTTGGTTTCTGCCATAAATATTTATCTAATCCATAAAATGTTATCTTCAAATAAGACCTTAGTACTTCAGGAAATGGAACCTTGTGTGCCGAGGAGAACAAGTGAGCCATTAACAAAGGAAGCGAGTGCCTGCTCTGTGCGCCAGAGGAGCAGCTTTTCCTGCAGAGCAGGTATGCTGATAGCAGTGCTGGGAGAAAAGGAAGTGAAGAGGCCCAGGCACAAACTAGGATTTACCTGGAACCAGCTTTAAAACACAGCTGAATCATATCAGCGAAACACAGGTTTTAACGACAGCTGCCATCTCCTCACAGTTTAAAAAAAAAAAAAAAAATGACGTTTTCCATGCTAAAAAAAAAATCCATGTTTCCCAAATTTTAGTTTAGCATTGTTTCTCTCTCTCTCTCTCTCTTTCTCTATTTTTTTTTTCCTTCGGACCTGGGGATTGAACTCAGACCCTTGCACTTGCCAGGGAAGCACTTATTCCACTGAGCCATCTCCCTGGCCTCAGCCATCTCCCCAGCCCCTATTATGTTTCTCAAGTAGAATAAAGCTAAGAACTGAACTGATGACCTGGAAAATTTTGGTAAAATTATTTTCATTAATTATTAACTCTTTTTTTTTTTGCTTAATTTGATTAGTGTAAGGCTGGCCTAAATATCATTTCTTAAGGGAAAATATGCTGAGAAGTGATTCTTTTTTTACAAATTCCTTTGATAAAATTTTAATGTAACTCAAATAACAGTCTGTACATAGACTTTCTATATAAATAAAAAGGAAACAGGAAACAGGCACCTAAATTTATTTCAAATGAAAAAGGCACCAAGAGATGGAGCGGGTAGGGGAGGAGAAAGGAAAGAAAAAGGAATTAAGATGTGTTGTGCAGCTGGGGAGATAGCTCAGCGGTGTAAGCACCTGCCTGGCAAGAGCAAGAACCAGGGTTCCATCCCAGGTATTACATGCCATGCAGGCCCCAGAACCCCAGGCACACCATGTGTAGGAGACCCTGTACCAAATAAATAAATAAAGATTTTTTTTAATGTAAAAAACACATGTGTTATGTGCCATGCACCAACCTTGCCCTCATAAATGTAATCATTATGTATGGCAAACGTGTATAAAAAATTTTAAGACTTTTAAAAAAGAAAAGTGGCAAGAAAAAAAATAGGACATATAACTCATATACTTCTGTGAATGATATTTTAAAAACAGTTCCAGTTATAGTGCTATAGACTTTTTACTCTAAGACAGGGCCTAGGGGCCAGGGAGATGGCTCAGTGGAATAAGCACTTCCCTGGCAAGCACAAGGGCCTGAGTTCAATCCCTGGTTCCGCAAAAAAAAAAAAAAAAAAAAAAAAGACAGGGCCTAGTCATGTCAAGGTTCAGAGCCTATTTCCCTTAAGTGCTAGCAATAAATTTTGAAGGGGGCAGCATTTCCCTCCCAACTGGGGAATATAAGAATTCAACCCTTATCCACAGTTTCATGATAAATCATGGTATAAAGTGGAAACTTCCAGAAAGTAGCAGTTCAAAAGATTTCACTGCTGCCCTTCTTGAGCACTGCAGTAACATCTCATGCCATCCTTTCTGGGATCTGAATCATCCGTCTGCCCCACATTCCTGCATTATATATGCCACTCACCCACTAGTCTTTTTTTTTTTTTTTTTTAATTTTATTTATCTGGCATACGGTCTCACTATGCAGTTCAGACTCGTAGTGATCCTCTTGTTTCAGCTTCCCCAGCGCTTGGATTACTGGCATGCTCCACCATGCCCATCCCGGTGGCTGGCACCATGTCCCCAGGGTGAGGCTGGCATGACATGAGGTATTGGAGATGGAACCCAGGTCCTTGCACTTGCCTAGGCAAGTGCTTATACCACTGAGCTATTGCCACCGCCCCCCATTAGTCATTTTCATCTAGACTATCCAAGTGACTAGTGAGGTGTCAAAGTGCTTGTGTTCAAGCAACCTTTATTTCACTTAATGATGGCTACAAAGTGCAAAAATAGAAATGGCCGACACCTTTATTAGAGTATATTGTCATACCTGTTCTAGTTTATTATCAGTTATTGCTATTAGTCTCTTATGCTGCTTCATTAATAAATTTCATCTTGTGAATAGTACAAAATACAGAAAATATTATAGGGATCAGTAATCTCTGAAGTTTCAGCCCCCACTGGGGGATCTTGGGCCCTATACCCCACATATAAGGACAGACTGCTGATAAAATTTTTGAAATCACCAATAAGGCACAACCTCTATCTCATCCCAAAAGGAAAGCCTATGAACAGAGAGCTGTGGTTGTGTCTTGTTACTCCATTTGCTTGCTACTTGCTAGCTTCTGTCTGCCCTGCTTTGCCTTAGACTCCTTCTCCTCTGCCATGCCCCTCTGCCACGTGTCAGGTCAGGTGACTACAGACTGAAACCTCTATAGACCAATTAAACCTCGCCTCCTTTAACTTTGGCCAGGGGGTATTTTAACTCAGGGAGGAGAAAAAAGTAACTAAGACACCAGCGAACGGTGGCACATAAGTGGCCTCCATTAGAAGAACCAGTAACTTGAGTCCAATCCAGGCTGCTGGCCCATAGAATCATAAGCAAATAACTGGGTGTTTTAAGACAAATGAATGTCACAGACCACATACACCCCCAAGCACCTAAAATTATAAGTAAATTTTCACAAGTATGCAGCATGTGTACTGTGAAAATGACTGCTATTCTCCATCAAATTCTCAATGTAGTCTATGCGCCTAACCAAAAAAGTAAAGAACTGTCAACCAAGTGCGGGGGCATAATACACCTGAAAGGCTGGCCACTTGCAAAGTGAAGGCAAGAGGATGGCAAGTTCAAGTCCAGTCAGATCTTGTCTCAAAATAAAAATCAAGTGGCCAGTCGTGTAGTTCCATCCTCCGTGCTGCCACCCCTGCCCCTCAAATAGGAAGGCACCCTCAGTCCCAACCATAATTTCTCCTTCCAGAAGGTAGCCTTCTTAGCCAGGCTTGAGCCCTTAGCCCACCACAGGGACCCCACGGGCCACAGTGTGAGGCTTGGCTCAACAAAGAAAAGGAGGTGTGGCTGGAATGTGGCCCGGTGGTGAACTTGCAAGGCGTCGGGAAAGCTCAACCCCCATAATTAAACTAAATAAACAACAAAAAACAACCATATGACCCATTACTCAGTGTTTGCATTTCTTTCACACATGGGACTAGTTAAAGAGCTTGGGGCTCAGTCCCCATCTTTTCCTGGATACTGCTTAGGGGTGCTCGGAGACTCAATTCCAAGTTAAATGCAGCCACCAGGGTTTAACAGACCAAGCAGTCTACTGCCTCCCTCCAAATTACCATAAAACATCCCTACAAAGTCTGCAAAAAAGTTGACGAGCACAGACCAAGGCGGTACCGCTAACTCCACCGCGCTAGTCACCCGAGTCAGAAATCACCGAGGCTGCTCGTTCCAGGCTGTAAAGCCCATCAAGCTCCCCTCTGAACGTCAAAGCGCTTGCAGACCCGCAGGGAGGCCAGCGCCCACAGAAACGCCGCGGGCCGGAAGGGCGGTCGGGGCGCCCCACCCCGGCTCAGGCACCGTTACCAGGGCAGAGACCCGCCTCGCCCGACCCGGGGTGGGGCGCCCCAAGGCTGCAGGCGGGGTCGTCGCGCTCCCAGACGCAGGCCTCGGGCTCCAAAGGACAAAGGGGCAGGGCATGGGCCCGGCGGCGGCGCTGTAAGTGGGGAGGCCCTGTTCTTTTCTGCGAAGCCTGCACCCCTCCATCTCGGGGTCGGAGCTACACGCGCCCCGCTCGCCCTACGGTGAGCTTCGGGCGGAGAACAGCAGCAGCCGCAGCGGCGCACCTCCGCCCGGCGGCTCAGCCCAGGCCCGCACACACTCACCAGCTTAGTGGCCCGGTACGGCCCAGGCCCCACAAGGCGGTGCTCCATGGCCGGGCTGCCCCTGCCGCGGAGCCAGCGCCGGTAGCCTCGGCCCGCAGCGCCCCAGTTTGAATCTCGAGCCTGCGGGCTCCCGACGCTGATTGGACGGAGTGGAGGCACGTGACCGGGAAATCCGGTGGGTGGGCGGGGCTCGGCGCTGCTAGGGGCGGAGTCTGCTGCCCGGATTCGCAGCCAGGGGATGCGCCTGGCCTAGATCCGGGCGCTGGGCGGTCCTCGGCGGAGCTGCCGGGCGCCTTTCTTAGGCTTCCCCGCGCCCTTCCACCCGGTATGCACGCGTTCTCTGTTAGAGAGCTAATGAAAGTTTCTATGGCCGCGCCAAGAGCTCCGGAACCTGCAGCTGCTGCGGGGATTGGCAGGAGCAGGCGGTGCAAAGGAGCGAGCGGACGCCCCGCACCCGGGGAGGGTGATTCCGGAGCTAGATAAAGGCACCCGGCCGCAAGGGTGTGGAGAGTGAGGAAGAGCTGGAAAAGAGCTCCCGCTCGGCCTCTGTTGTGTTCTCCCGATGGAGTGTGGAAGTGTTGTTCCTTGCTTTTTGAGTCCGTTTTCCATCAGCCTGAAGTTTTCTGCCCTTAGCTGTAGGGTTGTGAGTCCATCCTCTGCTCACAGTGACCTTCCTTGCTATCCCTTGCCCCCAGGAACTGCTGGTACAGTTTGCAACTGTTCAAAGAGACAGATGAAGTCGCCACTGTAGATAGATATAGATTCTATAAATAGGTAGATTATTATTATTAAATAGATATAATCTCTGACTTGAGTTGAGAGTTCAAATCTAGTCACCTCAGTGAGTCCCCAAGGTAAAAACGCCATGTTCATAATTGATTGGGTATGTGCAAAAGAGTAACTCTCCTATCGAGGAAGAGAAGCTTCAGAGATGTCAAGCAACTTATTGATGCGTCCACAGCTAGTAATTAATAAAACTTGGACCTGAACCTAGATCTTCTGCTACCAAATTCTGTGTAGAGAGTCTGGCTTCGTTTGGTTGCTTGGTTTGGTTATAGTAATGCCTTAAAGAATAAAAATAGATAATTTTCAAATATAAGACAAAATTTAATATGCATCTATACAAAGACATTTTAGAACAGGGTAAAAGGAAATGGAAACATGTCAAATCTATCCAGATAATCCCGACTAGGAATAAGATTTATTAAAACTTCACACGGTTGAGCTCTTGTTCAACCCCACTGGTTATACTTTGGCTTGATACTGTTATAATTTTTGTATTAATTGGGATTGATATTGCCCTCCCAAAAATTTTAATTCCCAGCTGTGTCTTAATGACATCGTTCAACTCATCTTCACACTCTGAGTAGAGCAATTTTAGTAAATTGCTGGGCACATTCCTCTCTGTCATATTGAAATCTGAGGCCATCAGAATACTGCAGAAAGTTTGACTCAGTCTCCAAATACTGTCACAGGGTGTTAGTACATTTAGAACTGGCTGTTTCATCATGGTGGCTTTCGCATTCCTGACATTAGGAAATTTCATGCTGTGGAGCCGCAAGCAAGTGGCCGCAGGTACTCTGTTGAGTTAGGAGTCACGGATTGCCCAATCACCAAGCAGGGAGTGTCTGAGAACTGCGTTCCCTCCCAGAGTGTTGCTGAGTGTCACACTCTGCCCTACCTCAGGTCTCCCAGCTGGTCGGATGGGTTATTTTGAAAGAACAACTCTGGTGAAGTCCAAGTCACTCTCTGCTTACACTAGATATGAGCCCTGTAAACTGCACTCCAGTGTCTTTCTATTGTGGTTCTTCGCATTTAAATTATCAAGGAAGGCCCATCTGCTGAGGTTCTTAAAAGTTCTTAAAACTGGACCAGCAACAAAGCTCAGCAGAACTAAGTGCTTGCTTAGGCAAGTGCAGGGACCAGGGATTCAATCCCTGGAACCACATACTGCACTAGACCTGTCCCCACCCCCCTCCAGGCACACTGAGCTAGCAACAGAGACCTAGAGTGGTGGCGCACGCCTATAATCCCAGTGCTAGGGAGGCTGAAAACAGGAGGATCCCTATGAGTCCAAGCTGCATAGTGAGATGCTGTACCAAATACATTTTTTCAAAAAGTCTGTAAAACTGTGAGTTGACTGCTGCTGCCCTTTGGTCGGCACGTGCTATTGTTACATTTGGAAATGTCCCCTCGAATTTCTGCTACTTTATTGACCAATTGGCAAATCATATGGACAGAGGAGAAATGAGTAAAGAAGAAAAGATAAAGATGTATGGAAAACATAAAACTGCACTATCATTACTATAAAGTCGAAACTACAAAATAATATTTTTACTTTAGCATTTAAAAAAATAAATGCTATGGAGCAATAGAAGATTCTGTCACTGATTCAGCAGGTGCGGTGTGAGCACTTCCTCTGTGCCAGGTACTGTTCTCCTCAGTGGGATACTACGAAAGATAACACAAGGTCCCTGCTTCTGGGAGCTGACATCCTAAGTAGAAGAGATATAAGTGAACTACAGGACATAAAAATGGATGTAACATATCAGTGCTGGAAAGAATAGTGGGAGGGGCCGGGGAGATGGCTCAGTAGAATAAGCGCTTCTCTGGCAAGCGCAAGGGCATGAGTTCAATCCCCGGTACTGCAAAAAAAAAAAAAAAAGAATAGTGGGAGATGAAGGGAGAGGCTGATGGAGGGGAAATGGTGATTTGATGATGAGTGAGACAGATAGGAATCAGGGAGGGAAGACGGGAGGGAGGGAAGGAGGGAGAAAGAGAGAGACAGACAGAGATTATAAGGAACTGGTTCCACTGATTATGAAACCTAAGAGTCCCATCCATGATCTGTATCTAGAAAACTGAAAACCCAGGGAAGCTCACGATGTAGTTGTAATCACAGTCCAAAGGCCTGAGAACCAGAACTAGGAAGAGCCCTGTATCAGTATAAATCCAAAGGCAGGACAAAAAAAAAAAAAAAAAAACCACAGTATTTCATCTTCAAGGCAGCCAGGCAGGTGCTCCCTGTTGGCTTGGGAGGGTCGGCCTTCTGTTTCATCCAGACCTTGAATGAGGCCTGTTATGGTTTGTGTCTAAGTATCCCCCCAGTGCCTCATGCCCTTTTAGATGGGACTTCTGAGAGGTAATTACATCTAGAATTTGGAATTGATTTGTAGTGCAGTGCTGAGATCAAGGGTGCTGGAATTAAGGCTGGGTGGTGGCTGGATGAGTCCACTGAGGGGATTGGTGCTGCCCTAATCCCAGCAGTCTGGGTAAGATAAAAAGGGCCAAAGGGGACTTGCCTCTCACCTTCCCTTGCTTGTTCTTGCTGTCTTCTGCCGCCATGACTGTTTCTTATCTGTGTTGCCCCTCTGCCATGCTACCCTGCCTTAGAGCCAGATGTTTATGGACTGAAACCTCTACAAACTGTGAGCTAAATAAACCTTTCCTTCTTTAACTTTGGGTGTTGGGTATTTTGTCTCAGCTGCAAGAGAAAAGTAACTAAGACAAGGCCCATCTGTGTTGGGAAGAACAAGCTGCTCTATTCTGTCTATCAATTTACATGTTAAAATTATCAAAAACACTCTTGTCAAAAAAAAAAAAAAAGAGAGAGACAATTAAGAGACAACCTGTAGAACAGGAGAAAATTTCTGCGAACTGTCCATATGACAAGGAGTTAATAGCCAGAATACATAGGAACTCAACAATGGGAGAGGGGGAAAAAAAAAAAAAAAAAAAAACAGAAACAACAAAACAAAACAGAAGACAAATAATCCAATAGAAAAATTAACAAATGATCTACATAGACATTTCTTAAAAGAAAATACACAAGTAACCAACAAATATCATGAAAAAAGGCCACCATCACCTAGAAGTTAAAGCACAGTGAGATATCATGTCACCTCAGTTAGGATGGCTACCGTCAAAAGACAAGAAATAATGTTGGCAAGTCTGCAGGAAAAAGGAAACTCTCGTATGCTGTTGGTGGAAATGGAAATTAGTACCGCCATTATGGAAAGGAATAGAGAAGTTCCCCATCAAAACTGCAAATAGGCCAGACTTGACAATACATTCCTGCAGTCCTAGCTACTTGGGAGGCTGAGGCAGGGGACCACTAGAATGCACAAGTTCAAGACCAGCCTAGGCAACATAGAAAGACTGTTTTGAGATGAAGGAGGAGAGGAGGAGAATGAAGATGAGGGAAAGTTAGAAGAGGGAAAGAAAAGAGTGAAGGAAGAAAGAAGAGGAGAAAACAGAAAGAAGAGAAGGGAAAAAGGAGAACAGAACCACTAAGAATTGATATGCAATGTATTAATTATTGAAAATGCACTAGTAATCAGTTGTGAAACTGTCTCATTGCTATTTGTTTCTCAATAAAAAAATTTGAAAAAAGAACAGAAGAAAAAATTAGAAATAGCTGTATGATCTAGCAAGCTCAGAAGTACGTACACATCCAAAGGAACCAAAATCAAGATGCAAAGGAGACACGCATGCCTCCATGTATATTGGAGAGCTAGTCACAGCAGCTGAGACATAAAATCAGCCTAAGTGTCCACCAGTGGATGAGCAGATAAAGAAACTATGATGTGAGCAAGGAATGTCCCTTCATGTTAGGTAAGGACAAAAGGGGGGAGTTGAGAAAGGGAGAGAAAATGTGGGTATATTAGCTTTCTCTCTACTGAGCCACAGTACCAACAACCACAACTTAAAGGAGAAGAGTTTACTTTGCTCAATCCATGATAGAATGTCTCCCATCCAAGAACTAACCAGGCCCGACCCTGCTTAGCTTTTGAGATCAGAGGAGATCAGGCGCATTCAGGGTGGTATGGCCATAGACCATGATAGACTGTCCACGACCACCTGAGCAGCTCTCCTTGAAAGAAGAGTGATCGTCTCCATTTTGGCTGAGCCTGACCCATTTTCTTGTGTTGATACATACAGAACTGGCTAGGACTTCTCTTTATCCTTTCAGTTGGCCTTAAGCAATGTTTATTGGTCAAGCTGAGGTCCTGGCAATAGTCTTTGAAGGTGGCATGCGTGTTTCCCTGGTAACAGACATCTGCTGCTCTGCTGCTCTTTA